GGGTTTCTTCAAATTTATGTATCTTACTTCTATACTCTGAATTAGCTTATCAAAATATACAGGGGTGGATGAATGTTTTGATATCTGAATTTGGTTTCAATTAGGTATATAGACATGGCCAAAACCCGGCCGGGCCACCCGCGGGGCTCGAAAACACTGACCCGGACCCGGCACGGACCTACACTCACGCCGGGTCATTGGCCCGGTTGACTGGGCCGGGTCGTGTCCGAGCCGAGTCCGGCATTTTTAAAAAAAACAATAGAACAAAATAAAAATATATAAAAAAGCAAGCCATCGACACGGGCCGGGTCATGAAATTGATGACCCTGAAATGGCCTGTTTGAAATCCGGTCCGATCCCAAACCCCGTGGTCAACGGGTTTGACCAGGTCGGGTCTGGGCCAAGTGGCCCTTGGCCATGTCTAGGTATATATATCCTAATTTTTTTTATTTGGTGATTATAAATTTTGAATTTCAAAATTTCATCATTAAAAAAATAAGGAATGTTGAAGAATATATCCACAAGAATGCTCCAAAACAAGCATTTATACAAAAAATTATTCAATCTTGCAAACAAATAAATAAATAAGATTTTGTGGCAGTAATCAAATTGTATCCTCACAAGAAAAGTTATTTTTTTAGATAATAAGAAAGATTATTTTTTAGTGCTTCTAAAATGTTGTCCAAAAATGAGAAAGAGTGAAAATTGAAAATGACTTCATTTTCAAGAAGACCTTTCTTTTCAATTTTTCATCAACAATTGAAAAATAGATAATGATTTGACATTAGCTTGTCTACATATGACAGTTGGCTCCACTCCCACCATCCCTCAACTTGGTTTCATATTCATCCTGCAAGTCTTCATAATTTCACAAATGGCCCCAATACAAATGGATCAACATGCAAATTAGAAGTCAACCAAAGAGATGAACACACAAACAGATAGTTTATATTATACAGCATAAGTTCCCATCAAAAGTATATCAATCTCATACAGGCATAATAAACTTTGCAGTCTTTTCAAAAACACACAGTAGATTCAAAACCCTAGTTATTACTGCACAATAACAAGAGCACCTATTAAAACACCACCATTCTTGGCTTTAAGCAAAGCTTTACTGTTTGCCTTCTTCCATTAGCTTAGCATCAAACACACCTACAAAACCACAGCAGCATAAAGAATGTAAACCAAAGATGAAAAATCGAGAGAAAAATAATCTAAAAAGCCGAAGGGAACTGCATTGTGATCAAAATGGATTATGAAAATAATTCGCCCCGAGATAAATCATGAAAATTACAAAATAACCATTGAGAGGAGGGAAACGAGTAATTTCGAAAGACAACTGGATTTCTTTTTTTTTTTAACCTCGGACAGTTTGTGTAATTATCTTTTTCATCCCTGAAATATAAATTTAGAAAAGCACCAGCATCTAGCCTTAGTATGCCCCATCGAGCATCGCTGGGACATCACCGAAAGACCAAAGATCCATCTCGTTCCCGTTCATGAAGGCATCGATCGAGGCATCATCCCAATTCCCGTCGAGATAAGGCATCTGAAACAGCTTCAACTGAGAATCAAACTCCGAGAGATCATCATTTCCATCACCAGACACAATTTCCTCCGGGGTGGATTTAGATTTCTTCACAGGCCCAACATCATCATCCTCTGCAAATTGGGCCGGGCCATCCTCAATCACAGCAGAGAGGACAGATGAGATTTCAGGAGGAGTCTTTGCACAGTTTTCGCCCCAGGTGAAATCCGAGCAGTCGAAAGAGTTACTGCCCTGATCTGAGCTGAAATATACATTTTTGCCCTCGGTTGGTTTTACCTCAGTTATAGATCCAAACTCATTATTATTCATCTGTGGTTTTTCCTCAATAAAGCCAAACGAGTCATAGCAGTCATTTGGCATGTTCGTGAAATTCGCAGTCTGGTTTGGGCTGGGCTGTACAGAGTCCGGGCTTTCCTTAATAACCAGTTTTTGGATATCGCCCGGGAAATTCACCTTTGCTTTCTTGCCTCTGATCCTGCGGGCCTCGGCATCATAGGCCCGTGCAGCTTCCTCGGCAGTGTTGAAAGTGCCGAGCCAGACACGTACGCCTTTTCTCGGGTCACGAATCTCAGCAGCCCATTTTCCCCACGGGCGCTGGCGAATGCCTCTGTATTGATTCTTCCTCTTCCTTTTGGAAGACTTCTCGTTTTCCTCATAGTCAGATTGAGAAGCATCCAAAGGCTTCAAAGCTTCACAAAAATGAACCAACATATGCAAAATTCTGATCAGCTAAGTTTAAAAGGAAATGAATGAAATGACTTGTGGTCAGCAATTTACAACTTGAGCTAATTGAGGGCCATATGAATATGTTTACATCTTTCTGCCATTAAATCCCTTGAAAAGAAGCATATCATTTTGCGGATTTTCACTTTCTTGTCGAAAAACAACAGACAAGAAATGCTTTTGAAGTAACTTGATTCATGTACTGATTATTAAAAGAAAGCCACAGCAGGTCTACTCCCCATAGCTTCCAAGAAAGACATCCTTACAACTTCGAACAAATTTACAGTATAAATAAAGCATAAATTTGGCTCATAAGGTCAAAATCGAAGAACGAATAACAGAAACAAATCCAGGATGGTATTCCCATTGCAGAACTACAAATATAAACATTCACCCAGTCAAAGAAATTCAAAAGGCTTCTATCTTCATAATCATGTTAGGTGCAAAATTACATAAAATTCATGTTCAATCAGAATAATCAAAAAAACATATCTACAATCAACCACTAAATCATGAAACTGTCACAAAGTACATCTATGATACGAAGGAGACACAATAACAATCTAAGCTAAGAAGATGAACGACTTTGTAAGCAACACACAGAAACATATAAAATAAAAAAATAAAAAAAAAATAAAGATCAAAACTTTGCACATTATTTAATACACCCTAAACACCCAGTTAAATAAAATAAAATAAAACCGTTTTAAATGTACAGACTGGTTAACAAACTCCACCGTTGAATAAAATATGTTTAATTAAAAAAAAAAACCAGCATTACCTTTCACAGAAGATCTCTTTGAAGCAGAGAAAGAGAACGGTTTCTTCACATCGAGCTCGCCTTCATCGTCGGAGTATTCCTTAAAATCCTGAAAATCAGCCTCGAAATCATCGTCCAAATCAACGACCGGCTCAGATCTCCTGGACTTGGAGCGGTAGCTCCCCGGATTCTTCTTCTTGCTCAGATCGGCACAGCCGCTGCCCCAGAGCAGCTCCGCCGTCAGCCGGCGGGAAGATCGGCCCGCCGGAGGTATGAAATCGGATATTATTGCTCCACCACACATATTAACTCAAAAAAATTCCACTTCCTTCGATTTGCAGAAATCCTCTCGATTTTTCAACAAAACTTTTTTTTTTTTTTCCTTTTTTTGGAAAAATGGTAGAAAAACGATGAACTTTTAATAGAGATTTTTTTCTTTATATTATTATGTTGAGCAAAAAGAGGCAGGTGGGTGAGATATCGGCAGGAACGAGGTGACAATTTGAAATGGCAGTTATGCCCCTCAAAAATGTGTCTAGAGTGCCCTTGCCTTGCCTGGATGGGCTTGTGCTAGTGGTCCATCGTATGTGTATTGAGCTTGAGCCCACGCAAATAATTACCAGGGCTAAAAAAAATAAAAAAATGGCATTTATTATTGAGAAAATTACACAATTTATTTATTTTTTTTATATTCACATTCATGATTTTTATCAAGTACTATATTAATTTTTTAAATCTATGAATGATTTATTTTCATCATTGGTTTCTCAATTTCATAATTTTTTTATTTACAACTCGGTTATGAATAGTCCACTTATGTCATTAAAATGTAATAAAAATGTAAAATAAACTATAATATTTGAGGAGAATTCATAATATGAAAAAAAAAATCTTAAATTTAAATTTTTTTTATAATTGAAATGTGAAATATTGAATTCAATTATAGGCATAAAATTTATAAATTTAATATAAATTAATTGAACCAACATACAAACCAAGTTGATTATTGACGTATCTTGTAGAAACTAGTGTTTGTATAATTGTATTGAAGTATAAAAGAATAATATGGATGCTTGCAATTTGGGTAAATACTTAAACTACTAACCCGCCCAAATGAATACTTTAAGTGGGATTTATTACGTACCAATAATTCATATCAAACATTTCAATTTCACACTTTGTAATTAGAGAAAATGTCGATTCCTGAATTACATAATCATGATAGAATTTTTGTACGTGTGTTAATTTACAAAAATGGCACAATTAGGTAATTAAATTAAACTAGCTACTAGTGCAACGTGTTGGCCTAGTAACATCATGATTTCAACGACTATTTTTTCAACAGTTTTTTTACCGTAAGTATCGATAGAATTTTCATTTTCACCCTTGTTGAAAAATATACTTTTAGAATCGTCAAAATCTAATGGAAATTTCAATGGATAACTCATTCCAACGGAATATTTTTGTTGGAATTTCTTTTAGAACCCAACTAGTACGAATCTCGTGCGATGCACGAGTAAGAGATATTTATTAATATTTATAAATTAAAAATTTCAATGATATCTGAAATTTAAATTGTGCAAAAATCACATAGAACGTGTTAGTTTAAAATTAGTGCACGACCCGACAAGAAGCACAGTTTGAGAGGTAAGACGTTTCACTTATAACCAATAGGTCAAGAGTTCGAGTAACTGAGTATGGAAACTGAGAACACTATTGATCCTCTTTAAGAATTAACAAAAAAAAAAGAAGAAAAAAAAGTAAAAATAGTACACAACCCATACGGTGCATGTAATTAATAATAAAATACATTATATTCATTTCAAAATAAGTGTCATTTTAAATTTTTATTCAGAAATTCGATTTGACTATAATGCGATTCCATAAAATAATTATTTTGGTAAAATTTTATCATATATTTAAAAAATTTATATTTATATGAATAATAAGTATAACTCACATTAGTTAACAAAATTGAATCTTTCACCATAAAACATAACTACAAATTCTTAATTACTCATGTGAGAGATGAATGAAATCTGGCAAAATGCAATCGGGCGACATGAAATCACACATTAGCTATAAAAATTGAATCTTTTACAATAAGTCATAACTAATCCCACAAATTAAGGGAACCATTTAATGCTTTTCCATTTTACTGGATAAAACATTCAAAAACTTACCCAAAATAGTAAGTATTTATGCTAACAGAATTTAACCTGCATTTGACCTGGCATTTTAGAAAAATGGTTATTATATATATATATATATAGATTAAAATTTGCTACGAAAATAATAGTATTCTTTTGGATTTTTTTATTGAAATATATTTCCGTTGGAATTTTTCAGTAATTTCGTCATTATCTTGTAGTGCTAGTATGATTCTTAGTATTTTATTATTTTTTAATTACTAATTAATAAAATAAAAAATCGTGTATCATGTCACATTGAGCATTTATCATGCTTTATTACTTTATTAGAATTTTTATCATTTCATGATATATATATATATATATAAGATTTTATGAATAAAATATTTTTTTTACATCATATGAAAATAAATTATCAACACAATGTAATAATTTTAATTCATACGACAAGTTAGCTGACGATCTATAAAATATTATCATTTATGTTAATATTTAATAATAAATAAAATAAAATATAATAATACATTGCATGCATAATATTATCCTGCCTTGTAAGTATTTTCAGTATTTATGAACAAAATTATCAACATAATGCATCAATTTAATAACATGTTAATTTAGGCCAAATCAGTGGATTATTTTTTATATTTTCCATCCTACCTACACAATTAAAAAAAAAAAAAAAAGCTTTGGAAAAAGCCCTAATTCTCTCGCTCTCCCATCTCGCTTGCTCGTTGTCGCCTCTACAAATTGCCTTCCACAGCGCTGGCCGGGCCATGCCGATGGGGCCCCTGGCCACACAGCCATCATCCAGATGTCGTGTTTCCTCTCGTCCTTTAGCGCAGGTGGTGGAGGATCTTCCGAGGTCAGTTTTGCCTTTTATTGCTGGAATCGGTTGTGGTTTCTAGTCGTCGGCCTTCTTAGAGTTACAGTGATGCAGGGCGGGGTGCGGTTCAGGGGGATAGGGTAGGGATTGGCTCAAGCGACTTGCGGCTTCTGAGTTGAAGTGGCTATGGCTGGGACGTCTTGTCTGCTCTTTCTCTCTTGTTCCCTGGTACTGGTTTTTTTTTTTTTTTTTT